TTACACTTCATACAACAGCTGGCTATTATAAACACCACCCCCGCACTCAACCACTCACCTCTCTGTAACCTTAATGTACTGAATTACTACCCTATGCCCGTCTTAGCCAAGCTATCAACCTCCCAATTCACAGACCTTTTTACAAACCTTAAAATAACACTATGCTCTAAAACAACATTGACAATATCCTTAACTAGTTGTGAAAATACAGTAGGACACACTTCTGGGTTCTTAATCCATTTAACTGCATTTGTTGAGTCAGTCTCCACAATTAGCCGACCCTTGCCACACCACTCTGAATCCACAAACAAAACTAAACCAGCTTGGATGGCCTTCAATTCAGCTAAAAAAGGGGGACCTGGACCAGCTGAAGCCGAAAATGATCCCAAAACCTTGCTCTCCTCATTTCTTAGTATTCCCCCAATACCGCTGCTGTCACAATCTTTTTTTACTGCCCCATCCACATCCCCATCCACATTAATTTTAAAGAAACTCATGGGAGGGGGACTCCATAAGACCGGTGATGGATTAGTTTTCATGGACAGGTTACTCGAATCAGCCAGCTTCGGGTCACCAACAAGGCAGTCAAAGAGAACTGGAAAATTAGGAAATTTAGCCGAAAACCACACTGCCACTCTATATCACGATAAAAATAACAAATGTCCATAGCCTCCCTCATCTCCTTTTTTTATAGGAAAGTAGGCCTCGTTAAAAACCCCTTTCATGATTAATAGAGCACAAGGTGCTCCTTAATCAGCGGAAGGAGGAAAAGAGTGTCTTAGGATTCATTAATAACCAAAATATATACATAATGTTTAAAAACAAACATAACCACTCCCTTTACAATAACCCACCCAAAGACTAAATTAGCTAATCCCAACAGTAAACTAGGCAATGCCAGCCTTAGCTAAACTATCAGCCTCAACATTGGCTGACCTAGCAACCCATCTAATAATACCATTCAAGTCCCTTAACTTAGTTGCAATATCTTTCACTAAGTTTAAGTAGACACAGGGACAACGATCGTAATTCTTGACCCACTCCACTGCTAGTTTACTATCTGTTTCCACAATTAAGCGTTCCTTAAACCGCTGATGAAACGAATCAAAGAAAGTTAAGCTCCTCTTTACTGCCATAAGCTCAATTAGCAAAAGAGGACCTGGACCAGCAGCCTCTTGGAAAGAACCCAGCACCGAGCCATCCTCAACTCTAAGAATTCCCCCAACACCACTTTTCCTCTAATCTCCATTCACTGCTGCATCCACGTTTAATTTAATAAAGCCCTTTGGAGGAGGAGACCAAAACACAATTTCAATGATAGAACACCTTGAATTAGAGCAACAATCCCCAAGAGATGGATCAGTAATGAGAGAGTCCTTTAGAATAGAGACCTCCTTGAAATTTGCTAAGAACCAAGTAGCCAGCCTACATCTTGTCGTAAAAAACAAATCAATATGATCTAACCTTCCCCCATCAAAGACAATGTCATTCCTAAATTTCTAGATAGTCCATAGCACCACACCCGAAATAAAGGACCAAATTTTAGAGTTAGACACCATATGTTCCCAAGCTAACATAAAACTTTGAGCATTGTACTGCAAAACCGAATATACTCCCCAAAATTTCAAAAATTTATTCCATAAGGTCCATGCCAAAAAGCAAGTAAAAAATAGATGTGATGAAGATTCAACTTCCTTTTTATATAATGGACAAGTCACATCTACAATAGCAGAAATTCCTCTCCTTTGTAGTTCTTGTTTAATGGCAATCTTTGATACACCACCTGCCACACAAAGACCTCCACTCTAGGAGGCACCAAGCCTCTCCAAATGTATTCCATCCATAAGGAATCTACTGTCGAAACAGGACAGCAAGACTTAACACTGGAATTAACAGAATATATCCCATCCCCTCTCCAAACCAGCTCATATGACAACTCATGGGACAGAGTTATATTATGAATTAAAACCATTAAATCACAGTACTGCACCATTCCCCAGTCACTCAAATTCCTTCTAATTTGAACATGCCAAGACTAAACTGAAGACCGAAACTCTCCAAACTCTTTGAGCTTCCCATTTTTGTTTAAGGATAGAACAAACAATCTCGGGAAAACAACTTTAAGGGGGGAATCAATTGCCCAGTTATCAAACCAAAAACTAATTATGTCTCCATTGCCCACACGAACTTCAAACAGACTTCGAAATTTAGCTCCAAACTGATCCTCTTTGAAGTGATTTTGGACTACTGATTTCCAAATCCAGGAAGTATGTGCAGGAAGATTTTCCTTAAAAATCAGCAACCTAGGGTCCAAATTATACTTGCTGCATAATACTTTTTTCCACACCGTCTCCCTTTCATTTGCAAACCTCCAAGACCACTTCCCTAGGAGAGCTCTATTCATATAATTAAGATCTAAAATACCAAGACCACCAGCACTTTTTGCAGAGCACACTGTCGACCAGTTTACCCAATGAATTTTTTTGACCTCTGCCCCTCCTCCCCATAAAAATCTGGCCAAGATGGAATTAAGTTTAACAACCACGGAAGAAGGGATTTTAAATAGGGACATGTAATAGGTGGGTAATGAGCACAAAACAGCCTTCAATAAGACCAATCTCCTTGCCATTGATAGAGTCCTCGCCTTCCAGCCATCTAACTTTTTGTAGTACTTCTGCACTACTGGATCCCACAGCGCTATAGAATTCCTCTTAGCACCTAGCGGTAATCCCAAATATTCCGAAGGGAAATGACCCACTGCACAACCAATAGTATTAGCCCATTGCATTACCTCTTCCTCACTAATATTGATACCAAATAATTTACTCTTAGTGAGATTCAATTTCAGGCCTGATATTACTTCGAAAACTCGTAGAACCCTCTTAACATTAAGAACCTGTGTCTTCTATGCGGTACAGAATATGATCAGATCATCTGTGAATTGCAGATGTGACAAATTAAGAGAGGTCTCATCTTTGCCAACAACCAAACCGCTGAACAGACCGGAAGATACTGCTTTAAGAAGCAGTAAATGAAGTAGCTCACCAACGAAATTGAAAAGCAAGGGGGACAAGGAGCATCCCTGTCTAAGACCTCTAGCCATTGGAAATTCATCGGTAGGAATCCCATTAACTAACACTGAGACCGAAGCAGTTGTAACACATTTCCGAATCCAGCTACACCATTTTGATCGACCCCCATTTTAGCCATAATTTTAAAGAGAATATCCCACTCAACCGTATCGTAGGCCTTCTTGAAGTCCACCTTCAACACGCAACCCTTCAATCCTTTCTTCCTCCACAAATCAATTCCCTCATTAGCAATAAAAGAGCAGTCCAAAATTTGTCTACCAGGAATAAAAGCAAATTGTGAATCACTTATAATATCATCAATGCAACATCTCAACCTTCTCGCGAGACACTTGGAAAGAATTTTATACATCCCACCTACTAGACTAATAGGTCTGAAATCATCTAAACCCCCAATATTAGATCCCTTTGGAATGAGAGTTATGAAAGAATGATTAATGCCATGCTCCCAACCTTTTCCAAGGAAAAATTATGAAAAAAAATCAGAATATCACCTTTCAAGACCAAATTTTTTTTAAAAACCCCATATTCAGCCCATCCGATCCCGGAGCTTTGTTACTATCACACGAATTCAAGGTTTCCCATATTTCGTCTTCCGTAAACTCTTTTTCTAACATAAGATTCTGCTCCACTGAAATTCTTGAGAAATTTAACTTAATATCCTCCACTTCCAAAGTAGATCGGCAGTTAAAAGCTTTGAAAAAATGCTCCCTGACAGTAGCCTTAATCAGAACAGGATCCCTGATAATTTCACCTTCAACATTAATAGCATTTAGAGCGTTCATCCTCCTAATGGAAGCACAAGTGTGAAAAAATTTAGAATTCCGGTTACCATCTTTAACCCACTTCTCTCTTGAATTTTGGAACCAGATTTGTTCCTCAATTCTGTAGAGTCTCCAAAGCTCATTCCTCAATAACCTCAACTCTGTTGTACTGTCAAAATGAACTCTATGTCAAATGGAGATTTGATTATCCCGGTTAAGGAGAACTTGACACTCTTTCTCCTTCGAAGGTAAGAAAAAATTCAATTGATTCTCCTTCTCCACTAAATCCCTCCTATGCAGTTATGTCCTTCCCACGTTAATCTTCTTGTTATTGAAACTGGTCAATGCTTCTTTGTACGACCTGTCGTCTTTGAACCTCTTAAAAGACTCCTCTCTATCACCGTTGCTTCTGTCAACTTCCTCTGAACATCTTCTTTATCCTTTGATGTCTTTCCCAGTAAGTTCTCTCCTGTTCTGGTCTCTCATACACTTTGCAACCCTAACAAATACTCTTCTTCCATCGATGGGGCATTATTCACTTTTCCAATGGTATTCAACAGGTCTTCCTGGCACGCAAAATGGACAAAAGGAAAGGTGGAGTCTTTGCATCTTGGTCTCTTGTTGACGAGAGGAATGTAGACCTTGGTTACCCTCCCATGATGGCTGAAAAATTCCCAAAGAGCTCTTCTCGATACTCTTCTACTAAGGTTGTCAATGAAAGCCGTCCAGACTGCTCCAGTGGGGAGCCGAGCGACTTTTGGACTCTTGGACAATTTTGGTGTGTTACTTTTAAAAAAATATTAAAAATTAATTTTATTTTTTTATTTGATAATTCATTATTCTCCCTCTATTCTATTCCCTACCAAATATATATTTCATTCCTCATCTATTCTATAAAACGAACCGTGTTGTAAGTTCATTATCGAAAGCATGTAAGTAGAAGACAGGAACGCCAACTAAAGGTAGGAAAAGAAAAGAGAGATCTTGATGTTATCCATTTTTCTATTCTTTTTTCTTCTTTTCAATGCAATGCACAATAGAACCGTTAAAGGCCGAGAAAGAGAAGTCGGGCATTGCATAATATAAAGAGAAGAAAGAAAAAAGAAGTCGAGAATTTGGGGAAAACGGAAGAAGAAAAAAATCTCACCACATTGAGGGCATTGAGGTCCTTCGTCATCACTTTCTTCACTATCATATTCATCACTAACAAATGCCGGACCCCTTTTCCTTTGACTACCTCTTTCAGTCCTAATGACCTAGCACAAGTACAAACAATGTGACAGGAGAAGAAAAAAGAGAAACATCACAAATAGATTATACCTAAATAACTTCTGCAGTAAAATTAATATGGCTAACCTCAGAGGCTGAATGTTATAAGAAAGAAATTAATTCTAAGTGGACCTCAACCAAAAAGAGCATTTTGCAACACTGATACATTGCAGTGCTTTAGCATTTTGAACTACTAACTGAGGATAGTCTTGAAGGCATTGCTTAGTGATTTCCCAACTAAAATGAGAACTCCTAGAAGTCCGGTAATTAATTATATTTGAAAACTACAGTTAGGCTACTGTAAGACATCTAAATAAGGAAAATTTTACTCTTGTTATCATACAACATAACAAAACAAAAGTTAACTATAGCATTGGGAGTTAGCAGTAGGTTAGGATGCACAACCAATATCTGCATTTTAATCATTAGTCATTCATTGTCATATTTGCCTCACCCGGAGCATCAATAGTCAATGCAATTTATCATAATAAAGATCTCATTGACAAACCAGAAAATAAATGACAAAAATTCAGAATGCTACTACTCACAAGATTTGATCTTATCGTCGCATAAGAGTCTATAAGTGCAATTTCTTCATTTGGACGTTTTAAAGAAGGATTTGCTTGCAGGATCTCCTGAACAAAAAAAAAAGCAGTCAACTAGATAAAAATGAGAAGATAAAAATAATATCACACCCTACTCTAGGAAATTGACAGATTTCAAACCCTTTAAGTACTCAATGCTCATAAATAGAAGCAATAATAACACTGAGATGCGTTAAGGAGACCTCAATGCGTACAAAAGAGGCCCAACAACAAATATCACTAAGTAGCTCTCAAGATGAGCAATAAACTGGAAACCCAAAAGGGATTTGTGAATAGAAGCCATCATGTTAAATCCAGAGATGGCAAACGGCAAGTTTGAGTTGAGTTCCCATTGGGTTCAAATAGGTTTAGATTTGGTTCAGAAGTTTGTTTCATTCTAAATTCAAATCCATTCCAAGATCAAGTCTTCATAGCTCAGGTGATTCTTGTTCGAACAAGTTTTGGGCCATTTAAGATTTCATGTAACCATTTTTGCAACATAGGATCAATGAATTTTCTTCCTTCAAACAAGGTGTCAAGTCGATATCTTAGATTAAATTAATAATTCCATACATAAAAATGTTATATAAAACTAGAAGTTTATAAAGATTCTTGAAACAGAAAATTTAAAGTAATACTCCTTCGACATTAACTGCATCAAACTAAGAACTTCAATATTCTTATTGCAAATGAAAGAATTTTAATTTATGAAGCATTTGAATATTTTTATTTTTAATATAGAAATCTAATCTACCTATAGCATTTTTTGGCTGGACATACAACTATAACACTCTAAATTCAGAAGCTAACTTCTTTTTGGTATACATTGTAGTCACTTTAAAGCTCATGCTATTTAAAAATGAAAAAAAAAAAGAGGAAAACAGAAAACAGGAAAAATTATGTGACTTTAATTTTCATTTTAAAAAAATGTATAATATTCCTATCTTTTGTCCCTGATTGCAAAGACATTTTCTAGTTGCTTGTCATGCAGTAGATCTTAGGGGTCGAAAATTGAGAAAAACCAGAGCCATTTAAAAGGGTTGAGGATTCAATAACAAACTTTAACAGTTCCGGCCCAAAATGTAACCAACTTAGAATTAGGATAGTTCCCAAGGTGAAAAGTAAATCTTTGGAGTTTTATCAATTGACTTAACAAAAGTGATCAACAACTTCTCTTGTTTTAATTCTCCCAATTTCAAATTCACTAGCATTTACTTAATCACTGACAATAAGGGGGAAAGAGTACAGAAAAAGCAGCCAGACATATCTGTAAGTAACACAATATTAACTCCTTACATTATATTGCCTCTAATATATGTTTGCAGTTTGAAACTACAGGCATGATAAATGCTGCACCACCATGTCATATGTTTCGGTCATCAGTTATTGGTATATTGTCATTTACTTTAGATGGTACTCTACTACTAATTGGGGATGATTCAAGCCATATTCCCAAATAATAAGAAAATAAGAAAAAATCAATATGTTACCTCCTCAATATTGCGCAGAAATGGGTTTCTTCCAGCAAATTGTACAACAGCTCTACACTGGGGGCATAGAACACTTGAATGTTTCTTCTGTGACCTCTTTAACCACTCAGAAAAGCATCCGTTGCTAAAAGCGATAGAAGGAAGTTAGAACTAAAATCAATCGCGGCAATCTACATTACTGAAACAATCAAGAAATAAACTACATACCAGAAGTTATGAAGGCAAGGAGCAATAGTGATAACATCATGCCATATATTCAAGCAGATGCTGCATTTTGCATGCTCAACATCTATACAGATCTGGGAAAATGCCAGGAAAAGAATACACACACACATATATGCTATAAGTAAACCAATAGATAATACGGTGACCATGGGAGAAAAATATTAAAAATCATATCAGTGATTCACCTTCAATTGCTTTTTGCAGGTTTCTTGATCAAGGATCAGTTTAAATATGTAGCTCAAGTATTCTGGAAGAATCAGGAGAAAATAACATTAACCAACCAACACATGTTACATAATTTAAAAAACTACTACAATTATTTAATAAAATATAATAAAAAAATATACATGTTCTGTAGTACCAGAGATGAATACTTTCAGGCAAAAAAGTAGAAATGGTGCATATTGGATCATGGACAACTTGATTTGTATGTTTGCCATTTAACAGAAAAACACAGATGGTTGTCAATTTTAATTAAACCAGGTAAAGCAGGACAGTAATAGAGAATAAAACAATGATATTGTCTAATCAAGGCCATAACACTCTTCAACCATAGCTTGAAAACCTGTAATAAAATTCCATCCACCAAAGCTATTCCACTAATTATTTAAAGCCAATTATCTAAATATGACAATGATTTCCAAAAGGTCCTTAATGTGACATATATAAAGCAATATAAAACTTAGACAACACATTTGTTGAATGTATTGTGGTAACTGGTACGTACCATTTTTGCCAAAGTGTTTTTGGAGTATAACAACAAATAAGACTGAACTTGTTTATAAGCAGAAAAATCCAAATTCAGAAAGAAAAAAAAGGATCTATATTGATTAAGATGTAAAGAGTTCATATGAGTGATAACTTCTGTTTATAAAATTATGTAGCAACAGGGTATGAAACCAACAATAACTCCAGAAGGCATAGCATATTATTTATGATGATGTTTCTGTCGAGAATATCTAAATTAAATATTAGATAGGATCAGTTTTAATTAGATAGAATCAGTTTTTATTCTATTAGTTATTAGATAGGATCATTTTTAATTAGATAGAATCAGTTTTTTATTCTATTAGTTATTAGATAGGATCATTTTTAATTAGATAGAATCATTTTTATTCTGTTGCTAATTTTATGCATCTTTTTATGTAAAGTTGTTACATTGTAAACTCTATTTATGTCAGCCATATTCAGAAGAAATAAACATGATTTATTCGGAACAAATTTTTTCGTCTTTATGGTGTCAGAGCCAAAATGGCCAAATCCTACGATGATACCTCTGGTATCGACTCTATGAGTTCTACTCGCTCACCTTCAATCACCCTAAACACTGAATCCTTCCAAAACATATCCATCACTTCTCACAAGTTGAATGGAAATAATTTCTTACAGTGGTCACAATCTGTGAAACTGCTTATTCGTGGCCGTGGAAAATTCGGCTATCTCTCAGGTACCACTACGAAACCTGCCGAAGAAGATGAAGAATCTGAAAGATGGGAGGCAGAAAACTCGATGATTATGTCTTGGCTCATAAATTCCATAGATCCGAGTGTAGGGAGAACTTATCTCTTCCTACCTACTGCTCATGACATTTGGAATGCTGTGAACGAAACCTATTCTGATCTCGGGAACGCAGGACAATGGTTTGAACTAAAAACTCGGTTATGGAGGCTAAAACAAGGAAAAAACTGTCACTCAATACTACACTGAACTCAAGACCTTGTGGCAAGAGGTTGACATGTTCAGCGACTACGAATGGAGTTGTGCTAAGGACAGGGCTCTATTCCAGAAGATGGTGGAAAAAGAACGCGTCTTCGAATTCCTTGTCGGCCTTAAAAAGGAATTGGATGAAGTCAGAGGGCGCATTCTTGGTCGTGAACCACTACCAAGCACAAGAGAAGTCTTCTCCGAAATCAGACGAGAGGAGAGCCGGCGGACAGTCATGCTTGGAGGCCACTCACCAAATCCCACCGAGTCTTCTGCCTTGTTCTCGGGTCAGCCACCACGTCGCAACGATCGTCGGAACGACAGAGATCGGCCAATCTGCGAGCACTGCAACAAGCCGGGACACACTAAAGCCAAGTGTTGGAAGCTACACGGGAAGCCAGCCGAGAATTTTTCAGCCAATCGAAATTCTCGTAATGCAAAGGGATTCCATGCCTCATCTGAAGATGCTTCTGAAGAGCCGAAACCTGCCTCAGAACTGTCTGCCTTCAGCAAAGAACAGCTAGAGCAATTGTATCACTAATGAGTTCTCATTCCATATCCAACACTCCTAACCCATCATCTTATATTGCCTCTTCATCATTAGCCCAGAAAGGTACATATCCTACAGCTTTCATAGCCGGTTCTAAATCAAACCCTTGGATCATAGATTCAGGGGCAACAGATCACATGACCGGTAATTCTTCTATATTCTCATCTTATTTTCCTTTATCTGGTAATCTGAAGGTAAAAATTGTTGATGGCTCCCTAACCTCTATAGCTGGAAAAGGCTCTATCATTATTTCTCCATCTCCCACATTACTAAATGTCCTACATGTCCCAAAGCTCTCTTGCAATCTCATCTCTGTTAATCGTATTATTCATGATTGCAAATGCATTGCTACAATAACATTTGCTGGATTTGAATTTCAGGACCCTTGTTCGGGGAAGATGATTGGCAATGCTAAGGAGGTTGATGGACTCTATCACTTGGTTACGGACAATCCTTCAGATAAACAAGTTCAGAAACCGAGATGCTTTACTACCTTGTCTTGTGAGAATGAAATAATGTTGTGGCATTATAGGTTAGGCCATCCTAGTTTTAATTACTTGAAATATTTGTTTCCAAATCTTTTCAAAAAAAAGGACGGTTTTTCTTTTCAGTGTGAAGCTTGTGAATTGGCAAAACATCATAGATCTGTTTATCCATCTTTAAAGTATATGCCATCAAAACTTTTTTCTCTTGTGCATAGTGATATTTGGGGCCCTTCACGAGTAAAAACAACCTCAGGATCTAGATGGTTCATCACATTCATTGATGATCACACTAGAGTCACGTGGATTTATTTACTAAAAGAAAAATCCGAGGCAGCAAGTGTTTTCAAAAATTTTCACTCACTGATCAATACTCAGTTTCAAGCAAATATTCAAGTTCTTAGAATCGATAATGGTCAAGAATATTTTAATGCAATCTTAGGTGATTTTTTGAAACAAAAAGGAATTATTCATCACAGTTCTTGCGTTGATACTCCCCAACAAAATGGAGTTGCTGAAAGAAAAAATAGGCATTTATTAGAGGTTGTTTGCTATGAAAGTTCCTAATCGTTTTTGGAATGAAGCACTCTTAACAGCGTCTTATTTGATAAATCGAATGCCTACAAGAGTTCTTAATTATATTACTCCTTTGCAAGCTCTAAAAAATATGTTTCCTGAAAATAGATCTTTCACTGATTTAACACCTAAAATTTTTGGTTGCATTGCTTTTGTTCATATACACGGCCAAAATAGAGGAAAACTCGATCCCCGAGCACATAAATACATATTTCTAGGTTTTTCACCAACACAAAAAGGGTATAATGCTTTGATCCTAAATCTGGGAAGTATTATGTGAGTATGGATGTCACGTTTTTTGAAAAACAACCTTTTTTTGACAAAAACTCTCTTCCGGGGGAGAATGACTCTGAAATGAGTTTTTGGGAACAAACATCCTTGCCAAAATCGGTTGTAAATAGCTCAGTGGAACCAATTCATATTTCCGTAACTAATCCTAGGATTTCACAACCTATAAATTCACAACCTCGTGAGACTCAGGTAGAAACCAACTTGGAATCACCTACTGAGCTTCGTGTTTATTCTAGACGGATGACTCGACCAAGTAATGTTCCACCGGCCCCCAAGGTATGCCAACCATCGAACTCGACTATGGTCCAAGGTACGACTTCTCTTTCTCCTATTTCTTCTCCAAATTTAGAGCCTTCTACAGAATTCTTTGAACCCATAGCCTTGCGCAAAGGTGTTAGATCATGTACCACAAAACATCCAATATCCAATTTCTTATCTTATAATAAACTCTCTCCAGATTTCAAAGTTTTTTCCACCAGGATTATGGATGATGCACTACCTAAGTCGATACATGAAGCTCTAGAAGTTCCGGGATGGAGAGGCAGTTTTTGAGGAGTTAAAGGCCCTGAAGAAGAATGACACCTGGGATCTAACTCCTTTACCTGAGGGGAAACAATCTGTAGGCAGCAAGTGGGTGTTCACCATCAAATACCATGCAGATGGCTCGGTCGAGAGATACAAGGCAAGACTCGTAGCACGAGGCTTCACTCAGACATACGGCCTTGACTACGAGGAGACCTTCGCACCTGTGGCCAAACTAAACACCGTACGTGTCCTACTCTCACTAGCCGCCAATCTGGATTGGACTCTCAGACAGTTTGATGTGAAGAATGCTTTCCTAAACGGTGAGCTAGAGGAAGAGGTGTTTATGGAAGTTCCTCCAGGCTTTGATGAATTGAAGAAGGATGGCAGGGTATGCAAGCTAAAGAAATCCATTTATGGATTGAAACAATCTCCGAGAGCCTGGTTCGAGAGATTCACGAGAGCTGTGAAACAACATGGTTACACTCAGGCTCAGTCTGATCATACTATGTTCTACAAACACAATAATGGTATTTTAATTGTGTATGTAGATGACATTGTTATGACAGGAGATGACACAGTAGAGTTGGAGTCGTTGAAGAACTTCTTATCCAACCAGTTTGAAGTCAAGGATCTAGGACAACTCAAATATTTCCTTGAAATGGAGGTGGCTAGATCCTCAAAAGGTATAATTATCTCGCAAAGGAAATATGTCCTCGATATCTTGAAAGAGACCAGATTACTCGGATGTAAACCAGTGGCGACTCCTATTGATCCGAATCAAAAACTCGAAAAAGAAGATGGTGCTGAGCCTGTGGACAAGAATCGGTTTCAGAAGCTGGTGGGGAAACTGATTTATTTGGCTCATACGAGACCAGATATTGCATTTGCTGTGAGCTTGGTTAGTCAGTTTATGCATTGTCCCTCAGAAAAACACTCCAAGGCTGTTTACCGGATTCTTCATTACTTGAAAGGGAGTCCTGGTAAAGGAATCATGTTTTCGAAGAATGGAAGTCGTAGAGTGGAGATCTTCACTGATGCTGATTGGGGCGGAAGTTCTATAGACAGAAGATCTACTACCAGTTATTGCTTCTTTGTCTGGGGCAACTTAGTTACTTGGAGGAGCAAGAAGCAACCAGTTGTCTCTAGAAGCAGTGCGGAGGCCGAGTTCAGAGCCATGGCGCAAGGAGTATGTGAGTTGTTATGGCTTAGGAGGATCTTGGAGGAGCTGAAGGTTGAAAGAGATAAACCGATGAAGTTGTATTGCGACAACAAATCGGCAATCAGTATTGCTCAGAATCTTGTACAGCATGACAGGACCAAACATGTCGAAATAGATCGACATTTCATCAAGGAGAGGCTGGAAAATGGCGATATCTGCATACCGTTTGTTCCATCATCAGAGCAGCTCACCGATGTTCTCACCAAGGGACTGTTTACTACGATGTTCAAAGGATTTCTGTCCAAGCTGGGAATGATCGATATCTATTCTCCAGCTTGAGGGGGGTGTCGAGAATATCTAAATTAAATATTAGATAGGATCAGTTTTAATTAGATAGAATCAGTTTTTTTTGTTGCTAATTTTATGCATCTTTTTATGTAAAGTTGTTACATTGTAAACTCTATTTAAGTCAGCCATATTCAGAAGAAATAAACATGATTTATCCGAAACAAGTTTTTTCGTCTTTAGTTTCCCTCTCTTGTAATATTAAACTCAAAATATCACCTTTTGAGGGAAAACAGAACCCCTGGCCCTTGAGAACAATGTCCAACTCCCTCCAGTCCAATGATAAAAACTTCAGAAAATGATAATGCCCTCATTTTCAATAGATACTAGACTCTACGTCCTTTAATTTGAAAAAGTAAATCAGAAAGCAATCTCAACACTTCACAATCCAACCATTGATATTGATTGGCAACTTTAATCAGCGAGTTTGCATAGATTACTATCTAAATAAAGAACATAAACAATGTAAAGAACATGTTACAGAGTGATCTATTAAAATGATTCAGTCATAAACAAGGCAGTTATGGAAACAGAACAATCAAATAAACTAAAGCTGACCTTCTCTATTGGGACCCAAAACAATATCAGTGCCAGATTTGATTTCGATGACATCTCCGCTTTGGACAACAGCATCATCAACTAGCATATCATTTGAACTGCAGTGGATTAATGCATAAGTAGAAAAGAGAAACAAATTAGAAAAGATGTTACAATGGAGACCACTATACAGCTACGCCAGAGCTACTGAAACTCTGTCCTAATTAATGTTACCTGACTCACTGATCGGTCTGGTACAAGGAACAAAAGCTAGAACGTAATTAGCTACTTTTGTAAAACGTAATTCGATAGGGGTATTTTGCTTTGGTTCATTTAGTAGGAACGAAATCCAAGTTATTGGAACATAAAACGTTTTTCTGGAACTTATAAATATAATTTTTGTGTTTATATAAACACATAACTCTAAATAAATAACTCTAAAACTGTCAACAATTTTATTATAAACTATATATCAATGGGATCATTAGTTTTATTGAATTGAATCACTAGTATTCCCGAATTCAGGACGAGTATACCAATTCGAAATTCGCTTGGGACTTGGGAGATAGTGATTTCTGGTAACAGAGGTCCTAAAGTTACTTTGTTGATTCATTTCATTTGATATCATTTGTTAGTCCTACTCTATCTCCGTAACTAATTTGTTGCATCATATAAAATTCTAAGGGTCAAGAAATCTATAGCATCCGCTCTCCACGAATAGCTTCATTAAAATTTTCTCAAAGCAAAAAAGCACGTAGAATTATATCATTGATCCTATACATTATCAAACAATATCACAGAAAAGTCAGGTTGTATGCACATTTTTCTTTCATAATGACAATAAGACCAACATTTAGAGATTATAACAGGTAGCTCGATCAAGACAAGCATTTATGACATAAAATACAAACTTCTTAGCTACCGGAAAAAGGAAGCAGACACAGGTTAGTGAATGATTTGTAGACACCTTTTATTTTGCATCATCGCAGTTAACATATTCGCATTCCTTGTTATTTTGCACCAGTCATGCTTCACTTGGGAGGAAGGGGTGATCTGAGAACTTACTATAAACTCATCTGAACATATCTCAATATCCGACTCTTGCACACCTAATGGAACTGCAAAAATTAAAACTTTATGAACATCCAGAGCCATATTGGAAAAGAAGTCACCAAAAATCTACAGTAATATCCTCATTCAAGTATTCCATCTTAGACAAAAGTATCGTCATGTCAAAAATCCATTTTTGTGTCAAAGTCCGACATTTGATTCTTTGAGAGCTCCTCATATCAGAAATTATCCTAATTGTACCAATAATTGTTGCAATGAGAGCTACATAATATCCAACAAAAATGGTACATTTTAACAATAAGCCAAGAATCAAAGGTAATGAAGTTGTAAGCATTGTCCTGAAACTTGATACGGCAATTGTTTGCAGTGAAATGAAAGAAAAGCCAAGAGCTTGCCTAAACTAATGAACTGATTAAGGCATATATGAAAAAGAGGATCAGCGGAATAGTTTCTAACTGGATCAACGAATGGATATACCAGAGATACAAAAGTTTCCATTTTTTCCGTTTCGGTAACAGAAAGTATGCTCGTTAAAGCATGACCTTGAAACTACTCGATCAGTTGTTTCAAGATTGAAACAGCATGCCCCCAGTCCATGATTTTACTTGGGGTTAAGCCATAATAAACTTTTTTTCACATTTCAGTACAATATCCCTCTGAATACAATCTAACTTAGAATTCCCAATTGATTTTTGGGGGGGAATGGGATAAACGAAAACATAAAAGGGAAAATACAACGCAATAGAGTGGCGATTGAACAATGGAAGAAAAGTTTTCTTTTTTTTTTGGAAAAACAAACATGAAAGAAGAATGGGAAATTGGGTGGGGAGGGGGTAGGAAATACCAAGCTTAGCCCAAATTTGGGAGGAGGATTGTGAACCAGAGCATTCCCCAACTTCTGCCATTAATAGAATGGAGTTGCTGTCATATAGAACTGCAGCCTGGTACTGGGTTGTGGATTTAGTTTCAGAGAATATATACCCTTTCTTTTCTTCTATGAACACTGGTATTTAGTATTAATAATAAACAGAAAAGCCTTGCTGCGGAAGAGAGAGGCTGACACTGAAGCGTAGCACACAAAGTCAAAGGTCAACACCAATTTTGTATGTATGTCGTGGGGCGTACGCTTTTCCAAAATGTTATAGGTTCAATAAGTAATAATGTATAACTTAAATGGTTATTTTATTTATATATTTGGTAAAAATTGTAGTTATGATTTATTATGTTATGTAATTAAGTTTTTAATTGAATAAAACTTGTTATTAATGATAAATTTTTACGTTTTAATTTAAAAAATTAATATAATTTAATATAAACAATATATCATTCCTGAAAATACAAACCAAATTTTGTTGTAGTTTATTTTCACATTTGCGATTTATCACGCTTCTTTTGCATTAAGGGTGCGTTTGGTTCACAGAATATAAAATTACCAGTGGGAATAAAATATTATCAATGAATAGTATTACTGAGAATGTTACATTACTATGTTAGGTTTGTTTGACAGGAATGTAAGATTACAATGTTTGGTTGAAGGAATAAAAGATTACTGAAATGTATATTTTACCAAATTATCATTGTTCTATATTTTTTAACAAGTGAAATTTTAAATATTTAAATAGAATTATTTATATAAAAATTCATCAATAATTTTGTTGAAAATATTTTGATATTTCAATATAACAAATAAGTATATTTGTTCGAATCATTTTCATGTTTGGATTCAAATTTGACAAGTTAAATTTCAGTGCTTCAATTTGTTGCTAAAACTTTCATAAATGATCATACATGTCCACTACATTAATTAAGGATTTCGTTAGGGTGCAATGCCCTTGATCAATGTCATTTACACATTTTAATCAAGACACGTAGATTCCTCTAGCTTTTCTTCATGTTGATTATTTTATGGATGATTGTATTTTTCATGTTTTATTCTCCAACTTCTGCTTCTTTGTCTTTGTCATGCTCGATGATTGAACATAAGTCTCTTGACATGCCTTGATAATGCATCGAACGTACGGGTCGTCCATCGAAATCTTAGTTAGCAAACTCTTCGCAGACTTGGGATCTCCTGAAGCCAAAAGGGCATGATACATCCTGCAAGAGAACACAACAATTCAATCCATCCAATGAGACGACTGGTTGATGAAATGGTTAGACATAGACTTTCAAAACAAAGCAACAAAGCCGAGAAAAGAAGACTGATGGAGGATTACTAACCTTAAGAATGTTAAAACATTGAAACGAAAGCTAGCTACCTGATATTCACTCCAAATTAAAAGAGAGTTCTGTAAATCTTTTGTGTTTACGCAAGAAGTAAGGATAAAGTCGAGACTTTTACGAGGTAAGGCCAAATTCATCCTTTATGTCTTGAAACAAAGCCAGGGCAAGCCTTAAATCATTAGGTTATTTCTCATCAATTACACAGGATATCTATTCAATCAAGAGATGGAACCATGTAAGGCAAATGCATTCAGATAAACACACGAGATAACATATTAATCAGAGGTGCAGAAAAGCAAAAGGCATAAAATATTTGCCAACCAATATTTGTAAAAACTCGCATACATTTGGAGATAGAAAGCCCTCCCCCTTGTTGTCTTCTAATGACTAAGTGCAACTACCAAGAGTTCAAGCTTCTTTTTCGAGTTTCAACCATACTAAGATGGGTAGGGGCATTACAAGCAAGATGTATACACAAAATCAAGAAAGAGAATAGGAAAAAACCTCGTCGAAAACAGCTTCCATAGCCAAATCATCGGTATGAAGCTTATCATTAAGCTGCTTGAGCAAATCAATAGCCGATCTAAGATCAAACAATCAATTAACAAAATGAAGATAAAAGATTACTATATAAAGAGTTTGATCAATGAGAAAACTAGGTAAAGTAGATAAATTCCCCAAAAAATGAAAATTATTGTGTTATCCAACCTTAAGTGCTTATTTCTAACACAATGTAAGACTAGTCTGCAATATAGTATAAAATAGTGGTTGCGGAATCTATCGCGGTTGCGGTTGCGGTGTCGCTGTTGCGGAGGTTACGTAACGTGTTGCGGCTGTAGCGGGCATGATTTTTTAACGTGTTGCGGCTGTCGCGGGCGATCGCGTTGCTATAATATTGCGTCGCGGTGGCCTTTAAAACCATTACGATGTGGCCATTACACTGCGTTGCGGCGGCAATTTAATACCATGGTCTGCAATATCCATTAACCCAATAGTCTGGATCCTGTATTTCCTCCAGTACTTGAAGTAATATACTCAACTCTCCCTCGGATGTAAAATGCTCCCAAGAGATAGTAAAGATGATAATTAAGATTATTGTAGTTATAGGAAAAAAGAAAACAAAGGCTCTGTCGTAAACTTACAATGAGAGCGATAGCAGCTTTAGGTTCCAAAGTCCCCCCATTTTGCTTGATTTCCTTGTAAAGGTTTAATGCATTAGGCATCATCCCATTCAACGCAAGAGCTGACACGAGCACACTCTTGATTTCATTTATGCTGCAAACAGGTATCATTTTGTCCAAGACTACCTAAAATATAAAATAGATCCTTTAAGACCATAAGAGACATCAAAATGGGTTTAATGCATAAATTGTACTTGAAATATGTTCCATATAATTAGGTACTCACAAAGGATTTCTTTATGTACGTGAGTTACATTCATTAGTTTGACATGCTTATTTAACATATGAGAAGTATACGACTTCTATAGCTCCTAAGTGCTAAATGCATACGTACCTATTTTGCCTTCTCAATTTGCCCACAAGTTGCATATTCATTTATTTGTGCCATAAAAATATGCTTTGTAACTGGAACTCCAGTACGCTTCATTTCTTCGCAGTACTACAAGCAATCACCAAATTACTGTATCATTTAAAGTGAAATCACAAGAGATGTGTCTTTTAAGAATTTCATCTATGCCAATTGTCAAACCATCAATTGCATTAAAATAAAAAATGGCAGACTTGCAGAGCACAGCAAAAATGAATTTACTAAGAACAGATTACAAAAAAATAACCTTTTCCTTTTGTAGGGAATAAAGGTACATAGATATGTATACCGACAAGTTGTTAGGGTTTTAACTATTGTTAATTAATGCTTAAGCTTGAGTTGCAAAAGGAGCCTAATTTAAGCTTAACTTGAATGGTTTACACTCATAATAATAATTAAGCTTGTCAAATTCAAGGTCCCACACCTTTTCCTGAAGTACCACTTAAACAAACCAAAAGAAGGAAAAGTAAATGCTCAACCATTTCTGGATAACACTTCAAATCCCTTCCATTAAAACAAAACAATGACATCTCTTTTGCCATTTGTTCTTGCTCTGGATTCCTTACAGAACACCTATGTTTCAACCTAATGACCCCCGACCAGTGAATGACACCTTCTATTCTAGCATGCACCGATCGACATTTTATGGTTTAATCAGAGATGGTTAAGCTTTAATCACTGTGTTTTAGAATCATTTTATCTGTCTTTTGGATAGGTTAGCTTTCGCAATTGGATTCTTTGGAATTTGTTCATCTTGCTGTCTTTTGAAAAAACTAACGTTAATGTTTGATGCATACATGTAATTTATTGTCAGCTGCGGAATTGTTACAGAATTCGGATCATAAACTCTAACAACTTGAAATATTTAGTTTTTTTTCTACAAAACTGTTATCATATACATTGAAACGATACATGACAATGATGGGATGTATATTGTTTGGGAAGAATCAAATGTAGTAAAAATAGCACAGTTGTGGGAACCTTATTAGTCAATGGTGGTCACCGACAAACAATTTCTAACAAAGGAAGAAACTATGTTCACGGCTAAAATTTGCATATAATGATTTTGATTAAAAGAACAAATTGAAAAAAAGATACCTTTGTGGACGAGCTTGGTTTTCTTTCATAGCTTTTTTGCCAGCGAGTGGTTTTGCAAAGGGAGCGAGCTAAATTCTTCTTCTTGTCTTCCTTCCACTGCGATGACCCGACAACCGTTGACGACTGCGAACCGAGAGCGCACAGCTGGAGGCTAGAGCGGTGGAGCGTGAGGAATGAATGAACGCTTTACAGTTTAGGGATTTCAATTTTGAGAATACAAACACATAGCCAAGAAATACGTTGAAAATAAAAACTGAAATATGAACGGTGGAAGCAAATATCTAAACCAAATCGAAGAAGAATAAGATTTCAGCAGAACGAAGCGGGGGAGAAGGTCATTTTATACAACGAGGACGGGAATAAGCAAATAGTTGACGATGTAAGATTATTAAAGAGAATAAAAGATTATCAAGTAATAGAATTATTGGAAATGTTGTATTTTGTATTTGATTGGTTTAGCAGGAATGTAAGATTAACATGTTTGGTTATAGGATTAAAAGATTATTGGAATGTATATTTGACCAAATTATCCTTATTATATATTTGTATAATATTATAAATTGTAAAATATTACAAATTGTAAAATATTTATATATTTTCTTTAAAAAAATTAAATTCATAATATTTATATAATTTTTTTACAAAATTAAAAATATAAAATATGTTTAATGAAAGGATAAAAAAAATTTTAACCCTTGTATAAAATTTTAATTATAGACTTTTTTTGTAAATCTAAAATAATTTAAGGATAAATTTGTAATTTAGCCTTCGTAGAATTTTTATTATTCAATGACAGAATAATGATATTTTTGAAAAAATAAATAAAAATTTAAGGGCATTTTAGTCTAAAACGTCGATAATGTTACAATACCTAAGGGAATGGAAGAAATGACATTCCCGGTAATATATCCAAAAAATCTACTATTGGTAATAAAACATTATCGGGAATGAGATTTCCGGCCAACCAAATATGAGAATGTGGGATTCTCATGGGATGGGAATCTCACAATCCTTGAACCAAACACCCCCTAAGGGAGATAGGGATAGACATTTTCGGGAAAGCAGTAAAAAATCATTATTATATTAATTTTTTACTCGCACTCGATAATATAATCCATCCAAATATGGGTCATCCGGGAAAATAACATTCCTCCCAGAAAATAAATATACTATAAACTAAACGGAGCCCAAAAGTAGTGGCTCTTTCCGACCACTTCCATGTCATTTCTATCTTTTATTATTATTATTATTCAGTTAATTATTGTTTAATTTTTTTCATTTTTAGTTATATTTTATTGTATTTATAATAATGCATACTATTGACTCTTTTTCTGATAAAAGATATAGTACTATTGTTATCAATGTTTTTAGACTCTCGACGCAAATTTCTTCTATTGGTCTTTTTCTTGGTCTACGGTTCTACGAAATTTCTTGATTGATTGCTTTTTAAATGTATGGTTTCTTTGTTCGATTATATATGATAGTCTGTTGTTGTTAATTATCTGTGTCACATGGGACTGTAGTTAAAGGGGGATTGGTTTTTCATTCACCTGCTTTGGATATTCTGCAGGTTTTCCTCCTCAATTGTTTACGCTCTTGCTCGTTGGACCACCAGTGATCGCTCATTGTTATATTTTACTTACGATAGTCATAAGAATAGTAAAATTTTTACGATAATGATCTGGGAAAGAAATTGCTCAAATAATGTTGAACCAAAATTATTTGCACGAATAATACATTTGTTACAAGATCACCCGGAGATGCCATGTAGTCCTTACGACTCAAGTGTGTTCTACAGAGATGGATTTACATTGTAAATTAGACTTACAATGTGTCTTCCACAATGCTTTGTCTCCCATCAACTCAGTTAGTATAGCGCAAGGCTCTTAACCTTGTGATCGTGGGAGAAAGAGATGGGCGAGTAGAAGTGTATATCTATTCAACTTTCAATTGATATTTTAATTAGTTTTTAAATGGATGCATGGCAGGAGAGTGGAAGACGTACGGTGCAAGTGCTCTGTCCTACCTAAGTCGCAAGGAGTACAATGCGACTTTCATTCTAACTGCATTCGAATAAATAATCTAAAAGTAATATTATTTAAAAAAAAATCAGCAACATTATCTAAAAAATTTATCCGTTTCTCAATTGAATAAAACTTACAACTGATGTTATCTTTTAATGTTTTATCTTGGAAAACTATTTAATCTACATGATTTAGTACAAACAACGTAGTTTTTAAAAGTTCAACCGAACCCTTCTTTCCAATATCTCCATCAAGTCTTCTCCAACATCCAAACTCACTGCTCTTCTCTTCTCCGACAAACCTACCCTCAGTTGAAGGACACTTTTAACTTCATTTTTTCCGGACTTTAATATGCATTCCTTTTCTTCAAAAGTCTTAAATTTTACCCGAGTTCCTGATTCTTACAAGTCTCAGATTGAATTGAGTAGAATAATTGAGATTGCTATGCCCACTGAGAAAATATAATAGAAGACATGATTAAGTTTTATTCAATTTAGAAACTTATGTAACATTATTTGTTGTAATTAGAATTATTACAAAATTATATAAATTTTAGAGTGGATATGGTAATATTTTTGTCTGAAATTGAAAAATTACGTTCTTTATACTAAATTATATAAATCAAATATTTTTCAAGTTAAAACATAAAAAAATAGTATTGCTAATGAATTTTATTCAATTAAATATAACCTTTTAAAGTGGACGAGGTCACATTTTCAATTGAAATTATATTGTCTATAATAAATTATATAAATCAAATAATGTTTTAGATTAAAATGTAAAAGGATACCATCAGTAATAGATTTTATTTAGGTAACACTAAATATTGTAATTAAAGAAATGATCATCCAGCTCAGTTGGTAGAACACAAGGTTCTTAACCTTGAGGTCGTGGGATCGAGTCCCATGAAGGGCATTTCATAATTTGGAGGTCTCCTACGGAAGTTGCTCTCAACCTAGTGTTGAGGGCAGCCTACTATCTTACATCCCCCTTACCTCATTACATATGGGAACAAGGGACAACCATTTTATAGATTGTAATTAAAATTATTGTCAAATATGTTATTTAATGTTATTTTAATAAAAATTTAAAAAAAATATTATTTTAATAAACTAGTTCACATCTTCTCTTGAAAAAAAAGAAAAAAGGTAATAACACATTAGCAGCTGACGCTAATTAGACAGCGTCTGACATACAAAACAAGATAATATGTATGGTAATTGGGGAAGACTTTGGGCGATTTTCCCCAAAAATCACCGGTGATCGGTATATATACCGATCTAACACCGATCAGATTATATTTCTCGATCTAACACCCGTAGTAGTAAAGCGCCCCCCCTGAACTGCGCTATATGCTGATTTGGCGTCACGTGGAGTATAGCGTGCCCTGTACCGCGTTATACGATGACTGGGTTACACGTGGGGTATAGCGCGCCCCCTGCTCCGCGCTATACGCCACGTAGGGGTATAGCGCAGATCAGGGGCCGCGCTATACGTCGTACCAAAATTATATTTAACGCGGTCCCTAATCCGCGCTATATAATAATTACATATAACGCGGTGCAAGTACCGCGCCTTATATGTTTATAAATACCTCGTATCTCTCCTCACATCTCATCGCATCTCTCCTCTCTTATAAATTAATACAACAATTCCGTCAACGAATAATAATTCTGGCAATCTTCTTATATTTTATTTAGAAGTTCGTGCGATTTTTCGTTATAAGGTAATTTTGTTATAATTTTTTAATTATACTTATTGTTTATTATCATTATTTGAAAAAATATTATACTAATTATTTTTAATTAATTTTTATGTTTGTAAAAGTGAAAAGCGGGAGCATACGTCGAAATAGTTTTGCGGTGCAGGTAATAATATAAAATTATATTATTTAAATTATTTACGTTGATGTGTAAAAAAAATTTGTGTTATATTTTCGTTCATATATAATTTATTTAATAAGGTTTGTTTAAGTTATTTTTTTGCATATATAATATTGCCGCA